CCAGATCATGTATGTATTCTTCTCTCTTACCTAGTCTGCTTCTATTACCCTAGTCCTTCTACTGTGTTTTTCATTTCAGGTATTGTATTTTTCAGTTCTGCCTGGTTTTTTTTTTTTTGGTGTTTCAGGTACTGTACTTCCTTGTTGAATTTTCGCTGTGTTCACCATCTGTTCCCTAATCCCGTTAGCATTCTTAATACAGAAGCTTTGACCTCTCTAGCTGGTAAATTATTCATGGTTTCATTAGTTGTTTTTTTCAGGGGTTTTCTCTTATTCTTTCAATTGAAACAAATTCCTGTCTTCTCATTTTGCTCAAGTTTCTCTCACTAAGAAATTAGGTGAAACACCTACCTGTTGCAGTCCTAAAGGGTTGTCCTTGTGTGGGAGCTTCCCTATATAGTCTGTGTGCCCAGTGGCTTTGGTAGGAGAACTGGATCAGATGTGAACATGAGTCATGTCTTCCCCCTGGGTGTGCTGGCAGCTATCAGCACTAGAAGGTGGACCTGGAGATGGACAGCCTACAGCCAGTGCCAGGTGTTAGCTGGGGCTTCTCCTCTATTCAGTGGCCAACACTACCCAATTGGGGGTGGGGCAGGTCCCAAGTTGCTGGAGCAGAAGTCTCAGGGTTGAGTCTCAGCTGGCTCCATTTCCTCTAAGTGTGGGCTGTCCCACCACCCAGCACTGCGCCCTGTCCCAGAGGAGGGGTGCCGTCCTGGAGCAGCCACAGGCTGTGGCAGTCCTGGCCCCGGTGAGAGTTCTGGGCTGCTGTCGATGCACTGCCTCAGTAAGGACCAGTAATTTCTTTCCCCGATCCTGTTCAGATGCTGTTCTGGGTCTAGGCCATCTTTGTCCCTCACAACTGCACACTCCCTTTGGCTGCTACAGCCCTAGCCCTAGGGTGGAGTTGACCATAGAGCAAGAGGTGCTGGTGCAGGCTCTTGACGTGGGCTATGGTGTGGACTGGGATGGTCATGGGAAACTGGCCAGAGCCCCATGCAGTTTCAGTCTGCTTCCAATGCCTTGTTTTGGGAGTGTGTGTACACTCTTCAAGAGTGGAGTCTAGGTTTCTTACAGTTTTCCTGTTACTTCCACTTGTTTTCAAACCACCTAAGGGAATCTGACTTTCCAGCACTGGTCCCCAGGGTTGGGGTACTCAATATGTGGTTTGAACCCTCATGCCCCAGGGAGGATCTTGGCCTGTGTAATCCCCTCCCTCCTCTTCTGTGTTCCCTTCCAGGGGGCACAGGTTCTAACATGATTGCTTCTCTTCCCTTCCTACCCAATTTCATGTGGATCATTTTTACAGCCTTGGTTGTACAAGGGTCTTCCTGCCAGTCTCCAGTTAGTTTTCAGTGAGAATTGTTCCACGTGTGGATGTATTTTCGATGTGTTCATGGGAGGAGGTGAGCTCCACGTCCTCCTACTCTGCCATCGTGCTCTCCCCTCTTCTATGCATCAGTACTGTTTGAGTGCTTAGAATAGTACCTGGTGCATAATAAACGGTACATAAATGTTTGTTTATAAACGAAGTGGCCATATGGTAAAATCTCTGGTTCGGGAAATTCCTGATAATTTGATGTGGCCAAAGGCGTGAGTCAGTCAGCGGGTTTCTCTCCTCTGTATTTTTAATATAGACACTTAAGAAACTTGATTAGTATTCATGGGCTTAGGAGTCAAATTCCCCACTGTTAATTATTAATGAACTCAGGTATCACTTGGGGCCTCTCTGCCCATTAGAGATTTTGGTAACTTTGTCTTAATGCTCTAGGACTCAACCATTAGGAAAAGTGTTGAGTCCTCTCCCTAACTTTTGAACATGTCTGATATTGTAATAGGGATTGGAAACTGGATAAAGCACCTTTCTCTGTCATGTAAAAGAGGGTCCTACATTTCAGTGTAGGATGGTGACTGTCCGGTAAGCAGCAACTCCTTCCATTCCTAGTGTCACTTCCTGTTCCCAGAATGCTGCTGCTGGAACTCCAGGCATCAAATCCTAGTTGTAGACCAGAAGAAAGATTTCCTAAAAAGTGAAAGGGAAAAAAAAAACAAAAACCTTATTGATTCTTTTTAAAGGAGTCTTAGAAGAAATTCTAGAAAATAATTCTGCCTTTATCTCTTTAGCCAGATACTAGAGAGGATCAAAAATAATCTTTTAGATGAACACACATTGTCAAGGGATAGATATTAGGAGGTAACTTTTCAGTTTTTACATGCAGTTCCCTTGTCACCATTCCCAAATATCTCAGACCCGTGTATGGACATGGGTGTGTATACTCCGTCTCTCACCAGCCTTCAGAAGAAATCTATCTCATAATATTATATTTTGAGACTTACTGAAGTTCGTTATAGGTTTAGAGATGTAGGAATCACAGGTAAGCCATTTGGCCACTTAAGCCTGTCATGTTACCCAACAGCACTTTTCTGTGCACCTCCCCTATTCCTTCCAAAAACTTTTTTTTTTAAAATTGTGATTAGCTTTTTTTTAACTCAGCATAGTTCTCTGGCGATTCATCCAAATTGTTGTGTGTATTAAGACTTCACTCCTTTTTTTAAAATAATTAATTAATTAACTTATTTTTGGCTATGTTGGATCTTCGTTTCTGTGCGAGGGCTTCCTCTAGTTGCGGCGAGCGGGGGCCACTCTTCATCACGGTGCGCGGGCCTCTCACTGTCGCGGCCTCTCTTGTTGTGGAGCACAAGCTCCAGACGCGCGGGCTCAGTAGTTGTGGCTCACGGGCCTAGTTGCTCCACGGCACGTGTGACCCTCCCAGACCAGGGCTCGAACCTGTGTCCCCTGCACTGGCAGGCAGATTCTCAACCACTGCACCACCAGGGAAGCCCCCCAAAACTTTTTATAAAGTCAGAGCTTCCAATATGTGACTTTTTCTGCTGCCCACAGACCCCTGGAACTTACTGCCTAGCTCTCTCCCTGTTTCCCCTCAGTTCTTTGAGGGAAGTGATGATCAGGTAGTTGGAAAGCTAGAGAACAAGAATAAGGATAGCAACCAACCATTTATCAAGTGTCTGGCATGTGGCAAATGCTCTGTTATATAACCAGTTTTTATAACAACCTATCGAAGAGGCTGCTGTCATCCCATTGTCACCAATGAGGAAATTCAGGCTCAAGACACTATAGTAAATGGCCCAATTTCATTTAAGCAGTGCTTACATTATTTGTGGCTCGTACATTTATTCACTTGTGCGTTCTTTCATTCAATATTTCATTTTCACAAAACTCAATGAGGACATAAATGACAAATTGGGATTACAACCAGGGGCAGTCAGTCAAATAAGCTCTCTGTTTTATGTGATTTTCCATCTAATTCTTTTCAAATCTTCTCTCCTCATCTTCTCTCCTCCAGGACAAACAGGCCCACTTCCTTCAACGCTCTCTGAAATTACAAGGGTTTCTAGATCCCTTATCATAAAAGCCTCCTCTTGACACGTTCTGGCTTGTCAGTGCCATTCTTGAAATGCTGCTCAGACTTGAAACTAATTCTAGATGTGGACAAAAAGCAAAACCAAACAAATTCAAGACACTTCTTTTAATTGTAGACGGTCAGATCAAAGAGGGCAACTACTCTAATTAGAAGTTGTATTACTAGCACCAAGTGCTAAGCCTAGCACAAGTTGAATAATGAGATTTTGAAAGGGCTTGGGTTGTACAGTTTAGTGATGATTTTATTTAGTGGAATGTGAGAACTGTCTACAGATATCTGAAGGGTTGTCACGTGGAACTGGGATTCGAGTTGCCTTTGTTGCTCGTAATAACCTTCTATTAATAATAATAACCATTATTTATGCAGCACTGATTTGGAATATACTTTATTCCCTATAACAACTTTATTATTTGGGAATTATTATCATTTTGGAAATACTACTTCTGTAAAATACAGAAAGCAGCTGAGGTTTGGAGAGTCAAACTGTTAATACTTAGGAGCACTCAGAATAAGTAGTAATGAGAATCAAATAAATACCATAGCTCTGCTGACTTAACCCAAAGCAGTGAAATTACTGAATTTTTGGACCATTCTCATTTACGCCCAAGGCCTCAATTTCTCATCTGTAAAACAAGCAGTTTGAGTCCTAGGCTTTATAGAAGCAGTAGTGTGCTGGAGCCCACGTGCAATCTGAGAGCGGATGGGTTTATTTTTAGAAATGCTGGGAGCTGGTTTTAAACACAGCATCACTGGCAATTAAACTGTAGACTGCACATTTAACATATTATGTTAAAATATAAAGTGCTCAAATTCATTATTTTCTAATATTCGACTTCATCTATTTTATCTATTCTCTTTAGGATATGAATAGCTATTGCATCTCTATGGTGGAAATAAATATTATAAAATAGCTGTGCTACTGCCATCTTTTCCCAGCTTCCCATTCAGTGGGGTCATTCTATAGCTTGCTATCTGCCAGATGGGAGTATTTACACCATGAAAATCGGCAAATACTACAAATCAATGTTTGGTTTATTGTTTTGTTCATTGTATTGACTTATGAAAGTGATGGAAAATATAATACAGATTAAAGTTAAAATGTCATATCTATAGGCATTACAGCTGAGTTGCACATAAAATAAGGAAATATTCTCCCAGTATTTGAAAACCATGATCCAATTCATAAAAGAAAGCACTCAATGTCTTTGATGAATGAAAGAAGTTCCAACCAAGTTTGTTGTTTCACTTTGTCTTATTCATTAACATAAATGGATGTTGGTTGATATTTTTGTCAGTTGGAAAATAGGTTAGCTATAATGAAGCATTCAGTACAGTCATTGAAAATATTCAGTGAGAATCATTTGGCTATAGGGAATTTATAATAACGTTATTTCTATTTATTACCTTGAGCTACATATCCTTTATAGACATAAAGTATATATGTTTATATATAAATGTAAATATACACACACACACAAAATACTGTGGAGCTGGTTGTTAAATGCTCACTAGCATATACTTAAACTGCACATAAGGCCTTTCTTATCTTTGATATTTTAGGAGTCTAACCAGGACCAAAAGGTAGACACCACAAAAAACCAAGCACTATGAAGAATTAGAGAGGTAGTGAGGTCCCCATCAATACGCTGATGACAAAGCCACTTCACAGGGCAGAGGAGGATGCAGATGATGTTGGATCTTCCTCTTCTCCACTCAGAAAGTAGGAAGAGGACGCTGGTGTGAAAGGTGGGTACAGTGTATTCACAAGGCAGTAGCCAATGGCTTGTGAGACTTTCCAGAGTCTTATCTATTTGTTGATATCCCTTCATGAGCTGAAGGTTTCTGGAGGGTCAGAATACATGACTCCTTGAGCCTATTTCCTCCACTTCTGTGTAAGCTTCCTCAATGGCTGTGTATCGTAGGTGTTTATGTATTAGCCTCTCACGTGAGAGTTTATGTTTCTTGGGTCTGAAGACTGTCTACCTATAAATAAGAGTTGTTCAAGAAATCTTTTTTTTTTTCTCTTCGCAGTGCATTTTGAGGGAAATCATTATAAGTTCAGTTTGTTCTCCCTTTTAGTTCCTCAAACTCTAGAACTGTGCAGAGGTTATAAGAAAACCTTCTCTCAATAAATTCTCTCTACTGCCCCATCCTTAAAAACAGAGCGGTTTTCTCTTCATCAATAGACAGCATCCTGGCATGTTAGCTGTAGATTACAATGTTTAACTGTGATGATTTCCTTAGAACTTCAGGACCAAATTCAACTGAAGCAAACCAGTGAATACGTTTTCTTTATTAACTTGCCATTGATACTTGTTTAACATCAGTGAAAAGCCAAGTAGAGGGAATTTGAATGTTAGGAAGTTAATATTGATTGAGTGTGCACTGTGTTCCAGAAGTGTTCTAAACGCATGACGTATGTTTTAATCTTCATCATTCTACAAGGGAATAGACAGGCTGAGAGGTAAAGATGGCTTACCCAACACCAAACCAAATACCTTGTAGGTAGGTGGCAGAACTAGGATTTGAACCCCCCCCATTCCAAATACTGTTGTTTTTCATATCAGTCCCTTTACCTCTTTGTAGAATGCTTCTATTTTTGTCTATAGGATAACCATTCAATTGATATTTCATAATTATTTATAGGAATAGAGTATCATAGTGACAGAGCGAAAAGGAGTATTTGAAAAAAACTGTGGAGATTGCGTTAGCTGTTTTTGACTGACTCAAAGACATGAAAAAAAAACCCCACCCAGAATGGGTCTGAGCCCTTAAACCCATGAGACCTGTATATTCTGCTGTCAAAGACCCCTGTTCCCCACCCACAGATTTCTCTAACCATTGACCCACAGCCTCCTTGCACATGATTGAGTTCCGTCTCCTTCATTCACTGTCCAGCTTCTCTAGGCTCCTCCTTCTCTTCTGCTGCTTCTCACTCTTCATCTCTCCAGAAAACACTTGCAACCATTTCTAGCCCTTAAAACCCTAATGTTAGCCCACTGGCCCCAGGAATGTGCACTAAGGCACTAGCTGCAACATGGTTTTCCTCATTTATTCTGACTCGTTATCTTTAGAGTTGTCAGTACCACTGAGGGTATGACCTGGATACTCTGCCACGGTTCACATGAGACCTCACAAGAACCTGGCAAAATGTTTGTTAGGCTTAAAACCATGCACCAGCATGCAGCAAATCTCTGTATCCCTCATAACTTACTTATTTATAGACACCTGCTGCATTTCTTCCAAGTAGCCTTAGCTCTTAACATTCTTGTACAGGGATATATGTGAACCCATTATTAACTGAAGTCTCCAGAAAAACAAACGTAAAAAAGGTGTTACCTGAGGCCAAGAAACAAGACCCAGAACTGCTGAAATGACTTTGCACACACACACACTCTTGGGAATTCAGTAATGGAGTAAACATAACTTGATAATTAATAGTCTCAAAGATAACTCCATATACATTAGTCTGGTATAACCTACAAAACAAACATCCTAAATCTGTATTTTGGCAATACTCTACATGTGCAGGTTTCAGGACACTTCCCTAAGTGGCCTAAGGATTAAGAAACCAGTATCTTTTAGAAGGAGAGTGATAACATTGATTTATGCTTTGAGGGCTTATAAATGATGGAGACAGAATAATTCTGAATAATATGCAGAAAGTATATGCCTACTGAGCTTCAAAAAAATGATGGTTTCTAAGTCAACTGCTGAGTTTTCCTAAAGACACTTCTAAAAAGTTTTGAGAGACACAAAAGAAAAAAACAAAAAGAAATAGAAAGTCTTCTCAAAGCGGTTACACTCTGTTCTCTCCCTTGTGCATTTCAAAGAAGCTATTCAAAGCGAGTACATTTTAACATATAAACCAGGACTATGCAACTAGCCCAACTATCAATTTATGTTCTTTTTTTGAAACAACTTGTATTTTGCAATCCACTCTCCCTTTTAATTATTACAACAATGACTTAGAATAATGTTTCTCTTAAATCCACTCTCCCTTTTAATTATTACAACAATGACTTAGAATAATGTTTCTCTTAACTAACTCAGAGGTTGTATTCTCATTACCCACTGCATTGCTAGTCATTTTTTTTTCCCACCAGTATTTGGCATTTTACAGCAGGTATGGGGTTTGTATCTTCACAGGCCAGCCTGTCTGGAAAGGGCTTTATGGCAGCACTACTGAGTATTTTCTCCCCTCAGCCTCCAGAAAGTGGCTACTTCCTTGATTTCCACATCTGCCAAGCTGGAATAATGTCACCTTCTTTGGGTGGATGCTAGGAGCAAATGAAATAGCTCTTGGTACATGCTTCTTTCTCTGTAACAATTATTAATTACTAATCCTGTCCTCTTCTCCATAGCCCTTTCCTATCCCCCCTTCACTGCCCTTTCGGCTGTGGTGATTTCTGAGAGGAAGACATTGGGCTTCGATTAAGAAGAGCTTATTGCCATCCCAGTGCAGCTAATCATCATCTTGGCCTGTTTTCTCAATTGTGAAAAGACTGAGTTACGACCCAGTCTGATTATCTTAGCATTGCTTGTGGTTTTTATGTAGTCTAACTTTGACTATTTCCTATGTACTGGACACTGACCTAAACAATTTACAAATGTTTATTTCATTTATGTATCTTTAAGGGGATATTTTAAATTTTAAAAATCAAGGTAAATATATTATTATCCCAGCTGGCAGATGAAGAGGTGGAAGCACTCAGTGGATACCCAATTTTCCCAAAGCTTTAAAAGGGAAACAAAGCAATTTGAATTCAGACTACAAAGCTTCTCCACCACCAATCCAACCCACGGCAGTGGCCTCTTTTGCAATTTCCAGCATCAATTTCCCTGACTTATTGGTTTCGACCATTCAGCACAGGCCCTGTAGCCAATTAAAACCATTTCCATGGTCACTACTAATTCAATCTGACTCACTTCTACAGACACTGCTTTCCTGAATTGCTTCTCTTTTTTATCCCTTCCTCTGCTTCTTTTTCCCTCCAACAAAAATTGCGTTCCAGGAGATATACTCAGGACTGAGGATTCAGAAAAGAATACTGAGATTGTTGGCAGTCTGAAACACAGCACAGTGTAACTGTGTAGGAGGGCAAAGATAGATTTGACACAGGAAAACTGTCATGTCATATGTTATTTCCCCCTGAGAGGCAGAGAGAAAGAGAGAGAGAGTTAGAGACACAGAACACATACCAGGAGAGTCACACAACCAAGCAGGGGCATAGAGACAGCAAATAGAGTGGACAGAACCATAAACTCTCCCTAGGGAGCCTTGGGGAAGGTTTCCCAGAGGTGTTCATATTTGAGCTGAATCTTGAAGAAAAGGAGGAGGCATTTCTTGTAAAAATATGGAACATTCTAGGCAAAGAGAAGACTAAGGAAAAGGCCCTATTTTGTGTCAGGAATGGAGCATTTAAAGGGACTGGCCACGGGGAAGGAGAGAAGGAACTAAGTTTGAAAGCGGTGACTTGCAGGCAACATCTAAAGGGTGTGTGCGTCCGTACTTAAGATATTTTTTATCACTTCTGGTGAGCACTATAAAGCCACTGAAAGATGATCAGATTTATCCTTTACAAGCTTATCTTGCAGATACTCTGGAGAAGAAACTGGAGTGGAAACCTCTTGTAGTAGTTTTGTTAAGAAATGATGAGGTGATAAACCTTTAGCCAGACTCATCAAGACAAAAAGGGAGAGGGCTCAAATCATTAAAATTAAAAATGGAAAAGGAGAAGTTACAACTGACACCACAGAAATACAAAGGATCATAAGAGACTACTACAAACAACTATATGCCAATAAAATAGACAACTAGAAGAAATGGACAAATTCTTAGAAAGAGACAACCTTCCAAGACTGAACCAGGATGAAACAAAATATGAACAGACCAATCACAAGTACTGAAATTGAAACAGTGATTAAAAAACTTCCAACAAACAAAAGTCCAGGACCAGATGGCTTCACAGGTGAATTCTGTCAAACATTTAGAGAAGAGTTAACACCTATCCTTCTGAAACTCTTCCAAAAAATTGCAGAGGAAGGAACACTCCCAAACTCATTCTATGAGGCCACCATCACACTGATACCAAAACCAAAGATACCACAAAAAAAGAAAAATTACAGGCCAATATCACCGATCAACATATATTCAAAAATCCTCAACAAAATACTAGCAAACCGAATCCAACAATACATTAAAAGGATCATACACCATGATCAAGTGGGATTGAAGAATCCTAGGGATTCTTCAGTATCCTCAAATCAATCAGTGTGATATACCATATTAACAAACTGAAGAATAGAAACCATATGATCATCTCAATAGATGCAGAAAAAGCTGTTGACAAAATTCAACACACATTTATGATAAAAACGCTCCAGAAAATGGGCATAGAGGGAACTTACCTCAACATAATAAAGGACACATATGACAAACCCACAACTGACATCATTCTCAATGGTGAAAAGGTGAAAGCATTCCTTCTAAGATCAGGAACAAGACAAGGATGTCCACTCTCACCACGTTTATTCAACGTAGTTTTGGAAGTCCTAGCCCTGGCAATCAAAGAAGAAGAAATAAAAGGACTCCAAATTGGAAAAGAAGAAGTAAAACTGTCACTGTCTGCAGATGACATGATACTATACATAGAAAATCTTAAAGATGCTACTAGAAAACTACTAGAGCCCATCAATGAATTTGGTAAAGTTTCAGGATATAAAATTAATACACAGAAGTCTCT